GGAAAGAGAGATTATAGTATCATTTGCAGTCCTTTGGGTGAAGGATCACAATCCACACTAATAAGGAGAGAGGAGTTTCCTGAATATAGAAATGCGCGTACTTGACACAGGGTCGGTGAGCTTGTGATGGGATGGCAGCTGTACAAAACCTCAGGAATCAAAGCTGAGTATGTTCATTTACATCACACTCAAAAGTTTCAGAGAAATACAGATGTTTCAGTTCTTTGTAAGAGAAGATATGCTTCCTAAAATAGAGAAAAACAAGTAGTAAAACAGGCCTGGATCACCAAGCCAGTGTGAAACTCTTACTTTCTGGTGTTAGTACAAAATAAACATTATCTGTTGCTTCAGTGAGCCTAACTGAGTAAGTTTTCATCTATATATAAAAAAAATTCACAGTCTAACTCCTAATTAATACTGTTCTCAAATTGCAAGAGCTACATATTAAATTCAGGCCAAGGCCGGAAGATTAAAGTCTTGCTCATGAGCTGATCAGAAACCAAATTTTTTGGTTTGCAGTTAATCCTATCAATAGATACTATTTTCCTTAAAAATACCTACCAACTTCCTAGCTAAAAACTGTCCATCACCCAAGTCAGCCTTTAAATTTTGCACTGACTGTAAACAAAAACTACATAAATGTGCAATGCTGCAAAAAACTGAAAAGGACCGATAAGTGCCGCTGCCACTTAAGCCACCAACAATTTTTCAAATGTCTGCTTCCTTCCAAGTCAGTAGCAAAAATTCTGCCATCTTAAGTGACTGCAAGGCCAGGGCCTGAGAGAGTAATCCTTTCCCAGCTGCACATCCTTAGGCTGATGTTGAGTTACTGGTTAAAACTTAGGAGGCAAGGAGGAAAGCAGATGCCCCTTTTATCACTAATATTAAATACATCTGACTAAGTACACATCCACATGAACACAGAGAGCAGAGCGGCATTTGTTGAAAACAAGATGCCACCTTCTAGGTAGCAAATAGTTCCCATCCCCAACACAATCTTTAAGAGACTGGCTGAGGAATCTCACAAAAATAAATCACTATTTGCCATAATTAAAGAAAGAACTCTGTTGGGTTTTTTTTGGTAGAATGCCCAAATTATCCCAGATATTCAGAGGTGTAACCAAAAGCAAAGCATACGCTGGAGCGTGGTGGTTTTCTAGTGGGAGAGAACAGAAGGTGTGTGGCTCTGGGCCATTCCAGCAGGCATCAGTGAGCAAGACCCACAGCATCATAACTTCAAACCGCTCAAAAGCCAGAACTCCTCCAACTCACAGTGCTGTTTAAATCCTACAGCTGTCACAAAACAGACCCATTAACAATCAGAAGCAAAGTCAGACTGCCCATCCCTGAGCATTAGAGAAAGAAGTGTGAAGACATCAATGCCCATGAGTCACGATGTGTCAGTGCCCAGCAGTACTTCTATTCTATAGCATACATTAATTTCTTAGCCAAAGCCACATTGCACTAAATACTGTATGGTCTGAGGAAACTTTAAAAACATATTTTGCTTTGTTTCAAAAGCCTGAAGCATGTCTTCTTAGAAAATCACTCTCAAATGTGTTAGGATATAACAAAGCGATCAAGTTTTTCTAGTATTTGGTAGTAGCAAATGCTCAGCTTCCTAATACTTCAAATTAAGCCTGTGATGGCATTTCTTCATTGTGTGTTTGCATACAACAGTCTGATCAAAAGTTTTAAGGCTCTTATTTCTCAAAAAAATGGTCACAGTAAAGAAGTGATTACATGGAGTTAACACAGCTATTGGCAATACAAAGAAGGATGCTCATGTCATTTGCTATTGTACGATCTGGGGCATTTCACTCCATGCTTTGGCTTTCTTCTTGGCCAGAGATAGCCACGGTGGTTCAG